GGTACGTTCCGGTATTCCGGACCGTACCCAGGGTACGTTCCGGCAGTACCCCAAGGGACATAGACCCTCTCAGCTCTAGTGGTAGCCTAGGCACCTGGATTGCCAATAATTAATTATAAATTACATATAGTCTGCCTTAGCCGATTTTCTTACCTTTAATGTAAACATAGTTGTGAATGCTAGTGTAGATTAACCATGAGTCAACATCCAATCACAGCTGAGCACAGAAATAGTATTTCCTGCAAGAAATTCCAAATATTATCATAATAAATTATTTCGAATAATACGAGCAAAAGTATGTACAAATTACCTAGCAACTTATGATAATGTATCTGTATACGAAAGTAATATGGAAGACAGAGTTAGGATTAGTCTCTGGAGCAATTGATAGAATTATATTGAAGTTGTGATACAAAAAACTTACTTGATGGATTTTACAATGAGGTTGTCATCAACAGGACATTTTAAACTTGCAACTCATTTTCAATTACTTAAACTTTCTGATTGCTGTTACATAGATTTACCGGTACAGAGATTTTGATGCAATGAGCAAAGACTGCATAGATCTGTGTTTGGGAGTGTATAACGGTATCAAGGGCGTATAAAGTAGAGTCCCCTCAATATAAAGGGACACTGGTATAAAGAAGGAGAGCGTACAAAGGTGAAATGCTGAAACCATGTTGCAGTTATAGTCGAATTAATAAACCCCCCATTTTATTTTGACGATTCTTTGCAGTATTATTGATCAGCTGTCCTACCTTGTTAATATAAAACAAACCGCATGTCCCTACGATGCACCTACGCTGAGATAATAAGCGGCGAAAATCTGGTATTTTCGCCAAAAACCAACTCGAGATACCTGCTGACTGCGACTGTCTCTCGCTTTGAGGTAACTTCGGGAAACCTCGCGTGTTTCCGTCAATGATTGACAAATTGAATGAATGACGTCTGTTATTGATTGCCTCGTATTATTGAGCGGCATCGTAAAGACAAGCGGTTTGTTTTATATCAGCAAGGTAAGACAGGTGTTATGTGAGGGCTGACCAGTGAATCATTAATAAATACCGTCCAAGGATATCTTCTGTTGATGGAGTAATACTAGGCGGCAAAGAGTGTCTAGAATTCGAACTTAATAATACGGTTTTATGGCAAACTTTTGGTTTTCAGATTTTCACCTTGCTCCTCGCTCCGAATTCTTCATGGTTATTACGGGCTGGCGTTGAACGGTCAGGTTCTACATATTAGACCTATTTAGACGCGCTATGCCAGCATGCATGCATCACAAAAATGTATAACGAATGCATTTGTCAACGGAATACTACTTATATAATTTAGGTAATAAGTATTTATAGCATAATATCCTAGATAGGAGATAAGAATATCATGATGTTGATACTGGTCTAGATAGTTAATACTAAGATCTGACTATCGCATTCATCCTACAAGCCGGGCATAGGCGCGCCACGCTGTTTTCAAAAAGCGTGTAGTTCGGATTCAGGCGATATACTCACCACATTTCTGAGGGGGAATGAATCGACCACTCGTGGGGGGATACATGCGCATTTGCTTTATTTACCACTTACGGTGGGGGGCTCGCGACGTTAATTCTTTGGAGAGAGCTTGTTATCGCGAAGCGCTCACGAGCCGAGAGAGCCCAGGCGACAAGCAGTAGGGCTGGTGGGGTGTGATAGCCAGGCGCAAGGATTGGTGTGTGGAAGGGCAGATACGTTTAGCTTTTCCAATTTTCCTCTGCAACTGAAATTGGTTAGCTCTAGATCTGCAGAATGATTGCGAGCGATCTAGGTCGAACACTTTCAAATTTTTATAAGATGAGAAGAAAAAACGAGATTGTAATAACACCTTTTCTAGTTACATGTCTATGTCAACATGTACAATCACTGTGATAGTAATATATGAGATTTTGCATCAATATGATGGATAATAGATTTATAGGAATAATGAACTATGCATAGTCGAATCTTTCTTTTCTCAGATTATACAGAAATATTTGTCCATTTTCTTAAATACTTCCTGCAATACGATGTGTCTTCTCGCGGGGCTCAGATAGTCAACAAATAACATTGCTGGGAATGATATGCTCTCAGACAATAAGACACTAGTAACACTGGCACGGCGCACTAGCCTTTTATCTTTAGTTTTATTCTTCATGCTTGCTGACAACAGTTTTACTTTAAGAAACCCAAGCTGCTAGGATATTAAATAAAAGATTATTTCGGATCATATTGTGATCTCTCTAAATACAGCCCTTGAAGAACTCGAAGTGCTAAATGGCTACAATCTAAGAAGGTACTGAAACAGGGAGACATGCCTGTTCGGGAGAATCCAAACTTTTCATATACTATATAATTTTATAATTCCAATAAGAACCCTATTACGGCTCATAGAGGCTATGTGGGCCCGCAAGAGGTTACTGCCGGAACGTACCCTGGGTACAGGTCGCGTTTGAAGGTGGGAGCCAACGAGGGAAGGCCAACGGAAATAGGTATACCGGGGGCTCTGCGTTGATCATGCGTAGCGTTAGGCTCTGGTGCTGCGGGTACGGCTTACAGCTGTGCGTATACGGTGAGGCGTAGGTGCAATATAAGTACAATAGCTGTTCTATATGCAGGGGACCCGCTAGCTCAGCGTCTATAGTTGTGGGGAAGGATAGGAGGTCAAGGGGCAAGGTTTTCTCAGAAAGATGGATTCGCGCAAATGTCTTGCTCGGGCCGAGCGCGCGCGCGTGTAGGATGATTAATGTAACACGGCGGGTGCGGGTAGGCTGACCGCGTAACCTAAGGAGTATCAGGTAGAGCACGCAGGAGGAGGGTCGTCTGCGCGGGGTGCTTTCTCTCGCCCAGCATAAATTTTCTCATATTAGACATCCTCAGTAATTTGCGTTATTTTTACTGGCAAGCAAGGGGGGTCGAGCGTCCTCGCACCCCTGTCACACGCTCCTTAGACTTCATTATAGACAATTCAGAGCTCGCGCGAAGCCTGCACAGGGCTGATTACGATTTTTGCAAGAGCGAAAACCATGCTGCGCTGGAGGGAGGGATGTGTTGACGAGTGGGGTGTTCACTGTTACACTCCTCCTCCCGCAACGATTGGAGATTTTAATGGCACAATTATTTACACTATAACTGTGCACAAAAGCCCGACCATTGAAAGTGTATACCATCCTTGCCAAATTCTAGAAAAAAAAATAAAAATTTGGTTTTATTGGTGGGGGGGACCGGGGATGGCCGCTAGGGGGGGGGTTACACCGTCTAACGAACTGTCTTCCAGCCGACCCCACGTTCCTCTTGGCTAGCCGGGCCTGCATTGCCATTGTAACGGTCTGATATTCGTCGAGCCTCCGAATGCCAACTCGGAGGATCAAAGCCTGGCTCGAAGTCCGTCACTCGCGGTATTGGGGTAAATACGCGCGCTTGTGCAAGTCTGTTTGCTATCTAGAGTAAGGCTAGAGGGGGGACTTCCGTACAGAACCCTTTGTATAATTTCTCCTTCAGTAGGCCAAGTACATGAAATATGTGGCATTAACACTCTTCCTTCGTCCTCTTTCCCTCCTTATCTTCTCTTCTTTATTTCTCATTTCTTTCTCAGGTACTTTGCCGATTCATACAAATACATTAGACACTCTTATTATTTGATGCCTAAAAAAGTGGGGGGCAATTCGCGTTCGGCCCCCCGGTCCCTCTCTCGTATGACGTCAGCTCCGTCCTGGATGCTTAGGTTCTATATATAACGTATCTCTATTCTAAATTGCATATTCTCTCCATGACAATTTCATTTATCATAGTATTTAATATTTATCGCTGAATTTAGAAGGTTGCTCCTTCTCGTCACACAAAATTTTCATTGTAACTTGATAACAACATGGCCAGATAAATTATTATAAATGTCTGTAGAGCTGATAAAAAGACTGTGGCCTGTATGCCGGGCTGAACCGTTACGTGCAGTTATATTCGGAAAACGTTTTTTCAAGCTAACATTGTCAACAAGAACAATGACTCAGCAAGTCTGCAGCATACAGTAACAGAAAACTGGCGAAATGGGCGAATATAAGGCCAAAAGGTGGGGAAATGTACCGGGATCCAGCAGTCGCCTTACGGAACAGTGGCGATGCAAAGTGGCAATGGTGCAAGTGGGAACTCTTGTGTAACTGTTAAGGCAGATAAGCGGCGCAGTGTCCAACAATCGTGTTTTTGACGGAATTGTTCTAATGTCGGCAGGTCGGCCCCGAATCAGTTCGAAATGGCAAAATTGGTATGGAACGTGACTGATCAATGGAAGGATTAAAATTGGGCTTGAAGGTAGAAACCCCCTCGTGACCTACTTGACCTTTCAGCACACAGAGCGCATGCAATGAGCATGTGTCAAAGTCTATATATAAGACATCGCTAACACCTGCATTATGGACTAGGGCCACAAGTCGAAAACAACCTAAAATCTGCGGCTGACGACTATGCACTTGTTGGAATAGAAGTTGTAACCATATAGTTCAAAAGATAGGAGCCATTTATGCATGAGGGGCAAGTAGACATAACTACAGGACCCTCTCTCTGGCCTCTGTAGTCTACATCCTACCCTGGGTACTAAAGGCATTTAAGACACCGTACTGTCATCTCAGAAGATCTGTCACGGATATAAAAACTAAGGGCACTCTTGTTCAAAACGAACATGGGTGCGGGCCTGCAGTGTGGGAGCCTTACCAGAAAGGGGGAATACTGTTGAAAAGCGAACCTAAATCAAATTAACTCTCCAAAATAAATGCTCGCCCCCTATCGAGCCGTATGCTGAGAGACTTTGATTGAGAGTCTTATAGTGAAGGCTCCTCGCAGAAGCCGGCGTAACAAAAGCTATAGGCCAGCACCGTCTCCGGCAAAGCGCGGAATCCATGCGTCGTTGGGAGGAAGGGGATAGATCTTGCCGTCTAGATCATTGAGGGCCGAAAGCTGCTTAGCAGCGCGAAATATACAAGAGAGACAGGGTGAGGGCCAAAAATGGAACAGAAATAATACTGAGAACTAGAATTCGAAAGTGCCTTCCCGCGGGGGCAACAGTACAACGAGAGGAATTAAGACTTGTGCGTTAGCGCAAGTGTATGACGGAGCTGCAACGATAAAGCCAACAGGTGAGCATCGAAAATTGTGCGGATCCAGACTACATACGATTGCTCGCTAAAGTTTTGAAGAATTAATCAGATAGTGGCCCTCTGATCAGACAGTGCGAGGGGAAGGCAGAAGTTGCCCTGAAAATTCTGGCTGTCTGGGAAACAAATGGTCAGGAATGGAGGAGCAGAAACCAGCTGAAATAGAAATAAAAAATAGCAAAAAACGAATAGTAGGTAATCGCCTGCGGTAGGAAAAAAAATCAATTAAAGCAGAGTATTTTAATGTAACATCTTGGGGGAGATGGACAGGAAACATTGGAAACGCCGGCAAATGAAGATAAAGGAATGCGCTGCCTGGGCTGACAAATGATTTGAGCAAAAACAGCGGTGCCGTAGAAAAAGATCAGGTCGAAGGAGTCACGCTAGTCTTAAAAAATTTAAGGACCTGGATAGAAAAACGGTTAAAAAAACTACAGAAAGGCCAATAGCCAACTTGAACTAGTAGATTGTTGGTAAAATATTTCTCAGGAATCCTTAGGACTCCGCCCTAGAAAACTTGCCGGAAGAACTGCCGGGCATTTCTTAGAGACGCCAAACTCCAAAATGGCGTCAGAAGGACAGACGCGCAACCGCTTGACAACAGGGGTATTCTATTCTGAACACGAAGCATACAAAGGGCAAAAATACAGGACAATCAACCCTGGTATGTCGAGCTTCCGGTAGACTTTAAAAAAGCGGGAATACCGACTGGCGATAGATAGAAAGAAACTACTAGCGCATTTAAAGTTAAGCGTGAAGGCTCAGTGAAGATTTTCGATGTGTTATAGGCGGGACAATAAGTCTAGCCAGCTAATAGAGGTCCATGTGCACGTGGAGCGATAAACCTATTTGTTGTAAGCCTGCACTAGGCCCATATGCGAATCTAGGTGGTGGGTTCAACTCCACCGATCTGACTGCAGGAATGTCATAATTACATAGGAATGAACCGACATTCTTAGTCTATCACCGTTGCTCTTTGCCAATCTGATATGAAGAGGATTATCTCAATAGACTTTAGTGAATTTTAATAGTTAAAAATTTGAGGAGAAAAACTAATCGCTGTGACGTGAGGGAGAAGAACCACACGCGGGAATTCTGCTATGATCTTGATCTAGCTGTACTTCCGCATTAGCGAGATATACATAATGAGACTGCAGGACCATTGTCTGGTTATTACTATGAATCGCTGGTTCGCGCACCAGCAGCTCTTGCTACTGAATTAAGCACTACGATGAGCTGACCGTTACTCACACAAAGGCTCGAGATCAGTTCTACTTTAGGTAGATAGAACTTTTATAATCCTAATAATGGCGCGATATGAACTTTGCCTGTCCTGAGGATGTTGGCACCAAATCTCTCATAACTAGAGACGGCTGAAGTCTTAGAAACCGAGTAATATAACGAAGACTGGAGGATTATCAGGCCCGAATATTCATAGGAATTTTAAAATTAAACAATATATATAAGAAAGTGATCCTTTAGGCAACACTCTGTCGTCGATACCCTTCTCCGACGTCTAGTGAGATATGTTCGTAGATGTGCGAGTTGGACACGCGCAGAGCCATCGAATACAAGTGAAACACAACTACAGTAGCCGAATCTTATTTGATGGAGATAGCCAACGTAAAGGCATACTAGTAGCCGCCTGCGCCCAGCAGGAGTTACGGCGGTGGTGGTATGGTGAGGACGAGTAACTGGGGTGCCTAAGACTTCGTCAGCAGAAGTACCTAGCCCATACACCTTATGCGAAATGACATATTAATCGCTATAATAAGGAATAGAAGTGAAGGCCCAGGTGCTTCACATGTGGCACTGTATTAGCTCACCACAAAAAATAAGGACACAAATGAGGTTGAACTAAGCAAGAAAGTCAAGTTTAAATGAGCAACCATCGACTCGTTACATTCTATAACAACGATTTGCGCATCTGGGCCAAAATATATGTCGCAGCATAATAATTTCACTTAAACCAAGGAATGAATCACTTACATTTGTTTGACCGTACGTTGGCCCGCTTATACCCGCTTTGTAGCGATGGCGTTTGAAATAAATAGTTCATGCTGTTACCGTTTTCCGACATGTTTTTTTGTAAACCTGTTTACTCTATGATAAGACGATTTTTTATCGGGCAGAGGTTGGAGAAGGATTCAATTACTACAAATTGTGTGCATTTAAAGATATTGTCATGAAATTTGTAAAAACGGAACCAGTACGAGTGTGACACCGAGAGAACTGGTTATGTGCTCCTATAGTAATTTATGCATATATATGTTGCCATCCTCACCTTTTAATTCATGCATTAATTTTTTTATGTAAATATCAAAAAACCCCTAGCCCCTTATTCTCATTCACAATACCATAACCCAAAAATCTATGGAAGGCGAAATCCGTCTGAACCTATCAGCACTGACTCATGGCAATTCCCATTTTGCCACCAAATAATTGCTGTGTCTCGAGAAATTGATTTACGTTAATTTCGACTGGCGTGCGTTCAAAATTCACGTTTAGGATATGGGAGCATAGCCGATAATAGCTACCAACAACGTGATACTCAATTTCAACATGTGGAGCCTTCAAACGGGTGATTCCTGGTCGTGCCGACACGAAATGCGAAATTTGTTGACGGACAGACCCGGCATGGCAAGTAGCTCAGCTTGACGATGTCAAGGCTGAGTTATAAAATCGCCTCTAGTAAGCTGACGCCTGTACCAATGTAAGGCGGGATGCCTCCCCCCGTTAAATAAGAGAGATACCAGCGAGATGGTGTGAGGGGCGGGAAGAAAATTGCCACTGTTTGTGCAATAAGGGAGAACCAGAAGACCTACAGCATTTCCTGTTAGTTTGCCCGGCATACAAACACCTAAGGAAGATCACGTGGGCAGGCTCCAATAAGTGGGGGTCACTCCTGAACAGCTGGAGGAAAGGCAGGTGATGCTCACCATCTTGGGGCTAAATGAACATAGATGTTATGGGGATTGGGTAGAGCAGGTTAAACATTACTTAGAATCAGCCTGGAAGCTCCGGAACAAAATCTCCCGGTAAAGTGAAATTACCGGTGGGAAACTATCAAAAATAAAAAGGGTATAACACCGATCTAAAGGTTTTCGTTCATACATACATATATAATTACATACATACATACATACATACATGAACAGCCACCAAGAGCATCTATACTAGCATATTCCGGATACCCTGTTGACATGCTAGGACACAAACAAATGCCGTATTTGGGACGATGGCGATTAAGTCATGCAACTAACAGACACTAATGACTACACTGTTACAGAGCTAATATTAATAAGGAACTATTGAGTATTGTTGTCTGTTAGTGGTACTACCTGGCTAGTGTTACTAATACTACTACTACTACTAGTAATACTGACATACAACTTGTAATATATTTATTATTATACAAGAACAACTTACAATAGATTGTACGTCTTTACGTAGCACACACCCTATGCCATAAGCTATGCCACTGACCTAGGTTAAAGTCGTGTAGGTTCATCATTAATAGGCCGTGTGACGTGTACGCAGTCCTGATTAGATCACGACATTTGATTTGGTCCTGTAAATCCTACCGCCAGCGATGTTGTTATTGTTTTTATTTAGGTCAATTAATGATTACTTCACCTTGCTTGCATGTAGCACAAAAATGTATGCATCTAACATACAACTATGGCATCGCGCAGCACAAAGTTCACGTAGAAACTTGTCGTTATTACTATAATACTTTTTTAAAACAGTTTTAAACATTACACGTAAATATGGTACACGTATCACAGAATGACACCATCGTGGCCTCGTTTTCAAAAGTGAATCACACGATTTCCGCTAGTGGCGCTGTAAACTTCCGGATATTGGCTCCAAGCTCACGGGTGCGCTCCAAGTTTACTGATTGCGCTGGCGTACCTGTGTCACCTGCGTTTAGGTTCCGGTGGTGCGTCGGTTGTCGTTCGTGGACTTTGTTGTTGTGAAGTGAACGCTTCGTGAAATTATTACAGATCTTACAATATTATGATATATATACGGTGAGAGTGATCATGAGTGACGATAGATTTCACAAGGCGGCCAGGGATGGCTACCTGGACTTATTGCGAGAGGGAACGAAACACGATCTCAACAAAAAGGATGAAGATGGAATGACGCCTACGCTATGGGCAGCTTTCCATGGCAACCTGGAAGCTCTTAGGTTAATCTGTGGCAGAGGGTAAGAAAGAAGTTACATTACTTGTATTACAAGTTACATTTTACCATTATTTCATAGAAGTTGTGTGCATTTCATACGTTCAGGCTGTTCAGCAAGATATTTATGTAAATGTAATTTTTATGTGTAACTTGTAAACTGTTATTCATAATATCAGATAATATATTATTATTAGTTATCATTTCATCGTGTCTTTGGCAGTATTGCAACCCTTTACTGAATTTTGTTTACCGTCTGCATGTCTATTACAGAAAGTGAAATTTTATGTCACTGTAGCCTACTTGCAAACAAATACGATATGCAGTGTCATGGTCATTCATTTCAATCCAAGATGTATATCTCGCAAATAATGTACAGTATGAATGAATTTATTTAAATATCAGACAACAGGGATATGATCCCTTGTTGTTGAGATGTTGAGACATTTCTTGGACTACTATAGGTCACCTTGGTGGGGGTTTAATCTGTATATTATGACATTGAACTTCAAGCTCTGATTATTGATTTTCCTACCAGACAACAAAACTTCATATTGTTGAAATGAATTTGAAAATGTGAAGAAGTGGTTTCACAGTTGAAGCAGCTCAATAACTCGTGCCATGGGATACACATTATACAGTACATTTAGTCACAACAATACATCTATATAATATATATTATTAGATTTCTGATACTGGATGTAGATAACTCATGGAAAAGCTGACGAAGGTACACTGCTACAAAATGGCGTGTTAGTTTCGAGGTTGCACACAGATGCCAAACATTGTACTGCAACATTGTAGCTGCTGCTAGCTTATATACTGACTTTATATCACTAAATATGTGTAGGAAATAAGGAGGTATTTTTACACATCTTTATCGATTCCTAACCCTCATATTAATAATATATGTGTAAGAGTATAGCAATTAATGCCAATTATCTTGTTAGACGTGCTGTCAGTAATAACATGACTTATTTGTTAGCATAGACGATAGGTCCCACATAGGAACATGTAGTTTACACGACAACATATTGTAGCATCCAAAGTGCATTCATACGACATATAGCGAATCTGCTATCAGCTAACGACTATTGGTACTACTTGTCTAACGAAATCTTTATTTGGACGTACGTAGATAAAAGCAGGGAACGTGCCTTAATAGCAAATATAAATGTATTTGTCAGTTATAAAACTTCCACGTTGTGCGAAATGTCAGTTTATCAGCCACCGTATTCAAACTAGATGTTATCATTGCTTCTAAAAATTCCTGGTGCGCATCAGTTGAATCGAGTGCAATCTAATAAGCGCCTGTTTAATCTCACAGGACGGTTGATATCTTATTATGATCACCTAGTGACCGAAGTAAGAAGTCAGTCAACGAATTAGTGATGTAGCTAATCTCTTGCTAATCCCCTCTTTGCCCACATAAGACATTTAGGAGATTAGTGATATGAACAACTCTTTCCCTAAATCCCCTCTCCTCCACATCAGACATTTAGGGGATTAGTGATATGAACAAATCTTTCCCTAAGTCCCATCTCCTCCACATCAGTCATTTAGAGGATTGTGGTATGAACAAATCTTTCCCTAAGTCCCTTCTCCGCACACGTAAGACAGCTAGCATTCGTGACGTGATTAAATCTTTGCTTAAATCCGCTCCCCACTCATGACTGTAGGACGGCTATAGGGTATTAGCGACGTGGTCAAATCTTTAGCTAGCGTTCCACTCTCCTCCACTCGCATCGTTGTTTTCGCCCTGTGAAAACACCGCTCGCTTCGTCTGCAAATAAACACAAGAACGTCGTTTGTGGGCGGTCACCCACAGACGCGTCTTTCTCCTCTAATGGCTGCGAATTTGTGCTAAGCGTCCGCGGATCAGTACGATCCACACAAACACACTCACATCGCGTTCACGAATGCACAAGGGGCCTTTGACACACGGCTGCGAGCGGTTTTTTTTTCACCGGCTGGTCAGCGTTGTTGCTAGGGTGCGATCATGCGCGTCATTCTACATGGCGGTCGGATCGGGGTCAAACACTAACATACCTCTACGAACAGACAAGTTGGTCGTTTCCGCCTTGCGGAATGAGAGAGAGAAATTCGTAAGGCGGCAAACTTGCCTTGCGGCCGTGTGAACCCGTGTAAGAGCCAGTCATACATGCGGACATACATAATCATATAGACACGCATATACGTAGCTCTACCGGCGTAGGCCTACCGCTACCAGCTCTACCGGTGTAGTCCCTTCCCTCCCGCTACAGGAAAGGCGCCTTATAGCTCCTAACCCTGTAGTGGGAGCGAAGGGGATACACCGGTCGAGCTAACATATACGCACACACGCATATAGATCTCATCACATCGGTGTTTCTCCAAGAGAGATGAGGTGAGGCAGTGGGAAAGAGAGAGATGTGTGTGTGTGGGGGGGTGCGTGCGTGCGTGCGTGTGTGTGTGTGTGTTTGTGCGTGTGTGTCACCGTGTGTGTGTGTGTGTGTGTGTGCGTGTGTGTCACCGTGTGTGTGTGTGTGTGTGTGTGCGTGCGGGCGTGCGTGCGTGCGTGCGTGCGTGTGTGTGTGAGAGAGAGAGAGAGAG